CCATAGACACACTCCTAAACCTTGTGGACAGCCTTCCCCGAAGAGTTAAAGCTGTTTTAGCTGCAAAGGGTGGGCCAACTCAATATTGAACCCTACAGACTAAGCCTGGGATGCCATTAAAGCTCATGTGCAGGTAAAGGCCCATACTTTTGACAATATAGTGTAGTTTTATACTATGTGTCCATCCATACTATTGTAAGCTAGAAGCGTTTTTTCAAGCTTCAGCTTCTAGGAGCATAAAAAAAAAAGCTTTTTTCATGGTTTATGATTTCCAATTCTACAAAATAACAAAAATAAACTGCACAAATTGCATTAAATTACACAAAGCAGCAAACAAAAAAGGAGGATATCCTCTCTTATCAACATAGATATAAATATCTGGTGTTGTGCTAATAGATAAATCAATCACAGTGACATACGTTCCATAAATAAATATCAAGTGTAAAAGTAATGAATAAATTCATCAAAATGACATATATTCATATACACTCATGCACAATAAATAAATAAAGTGCTCCAGGTGAACCCCAAGTGTGTTTACGCAAGCTGGAATGAAGAATTGTGATCACTTATTAAAAAGGGGGCTGTTCTCGTATTCTTCAAGGGACTTTTGCACAGTATGTTTATTATCGGGGTTCACCTTGGAGCACTTTATTATTTATTTTTTGTGCATGATTGTATATTCATGAATTATTGAATGTTTTTTATAAGTTCATTTATGTAATTTTGATTAATTCATTCGTTTTACACTTATTTATTTATGGTACTTATGCCAATATGATTGATTTATCTATTAGCGCAACACCAGATATTTATACAGCATATATATATATATATATATATATATATATATACACAGTGGGGCAAAAAAGTATTTAGTCAGCCACCAATTGCGCAAGTTCTCCCACTTAAAAAGATGAGAGAGGCCTGTAATTGGCATCAGAGGTAGACCTCAAATATGAGAGACAAAATGAGAAAAAAAAAATCCAGACAATCACATTGGCTGATTTGGAAAGAATTTATTTGCAAATTATGGTGGAAAATAAGTATTTGGTCAATATCAAAAATTCATCTCAATACTTTGTTATATATCCTTTGTTGGCAATGACAGAGGTCAAACATTTCCTGTAAGTATTCACAAGGTTGGCACACACTGTTGCTGGTATGTTGGCCCATTCCTCCATGCAGATCTCCTCTAGAGAAGTGATGTTTTGGGGGCTGTCGCTGGGCAACACAGATTTCTTTCAACTCCCTCCAAAGGTTTTCTATGGGGTTGAGATATGGAGACTGGCTAGGCCACTCCAGGACCTTGAAATGCTTCTTACGAAGCCACTCTTCGTTGCCCAGGCGGTATGTTTGGGATCATTGTCATGTTGGAAGACCCAGCCACGTTTCATCTTCAATGCACTTGCTGATGGAAGGAGGTTTGCACTCAAAATCTCATGATACATGGCCCCATTCATTCTGTCCTGTACATGGATCAGTCGTCCTGGTCCCTTTGCGGAGAAACAGCTCCAAAGCATGATGTTGCCACCCCCATGCTTCACAGTAGGTATGGTGTTCTTTGGATGCAACTCAGCATTCTCTCTCCTCCAAACACGACGAGTTGTGTTTCTACCAAACAGTTCTCATTTTGGTTTCATCTGACCATATGACATTCTCCCAATCCTCTTCTGGATCATCCAAATTCTCTCTAGCAAACTTCAGATGGGCCCGGACATGTACTGACTTAAGCAGGGGGACACGTCTGGCACTGCAGGATCTGAGTCCCCTGGTAGCGTAGTGTGTTACTGATGGTAGCCTTTGTTACGTTGGTCCCAGCTCTCTGCAGGTCATTCACTAGATCCCCCCCCCGTGTGGTCCTGGGATTTCTGCTCACCATTCTTGTGATCATTTTGACCCCACGGGGTGAGATCTTGCATGGAGTCCCAGATCAAGGGAGATTATCAGTGGTCTTGTATGTCTTCCATTTTCTAATTATTGCTCCCACAGTTGATTTGTTCACACCAAGCTGCTTGCCTATTGCAGATTCAGTCTTCCCAGCCTGGTGCAGGTCTACAATATTGTTTTTCTGGTGTCCTTCGACAGCTCTTTGGTCTTCACCATAGTGGAGTTCTAGAGTGTGACTGTTTGAGGTTGTGGACAGGTGTCTTTTATACTGATAACAAGTTCAAACAGGTGCCATTGATACAGGTAATGAGTGCAGGACAGAGGAGCCTCTTAAAGAAGAAGGTACAGGTCTGTGAGAGCCAGAAATCTTGCTTGTTTGTAGGTGACCAAATACTTATTTTCCACCATAATTTGCAAATAAATTCTTTCCAAATTAGCCAATGTAATTGTCTGGATTTTTTTCTCATTTTGTCTCTCATAGTTGAGGTCTACCTATGATGCCAATTACAGGCCTCTTGGAGCTTTTTAAGTGGGAGAACTTGCACAATTGGTGGCTGACTAAATACTTCCGTTTTTCAATCCAGCTGAATCTACAGCCACTGCGGCTACTGCCTGCAGCTTCTGGATCGGTTTGGCCCCTTGGCCACAAACTGAGGGATCATACGCAGACCCCACCACATGAAGAAGCAGGGCCATCCTGTAATGTTGTCTCCAGTACTGGATCCTATGTTGGCACTCATCCTTAGTACAGCAGTGCAGTGGGGTGCATTTTGCCACAGGGTGATTGTACAATTCCCCCAGCATGGAGACTGAGCTGTCACTGACTGTGAGGAGAAAAAGATTAATTATATATTTTGTCCTTACTAGAGGAGAAGTCTGTAAATAAATAAATATAAAATAGTTAGGTCAAGATCTAATCTAGGGTAGTTTTAGGTTCAGTGTTCGTGTCACTGTAAAAAATACTAGTTTCTGTGTCCTAACATGGGTGCAGACAACAAATAATGCACTCATATGTGGTATACCCAAGTATGTCAAGAGTAGGAGAATTTATTTAGGGTTGTTTAAGGCAAGAACTACTGTATGCAGCTAAATTAAAACATACACTATAGTGCCAAAAGTATTGGGATGCCTGGCTTTACAAGCACATGAACTTTAATGGCATCCCAGTCTTAGTCCATAGGGTTCAGTATTGAGTTGGTCCACCCTTTGCAGCTATAATAGCTTCAACTCTTCTGGGAAGGCCGTCCACAAGGTATTTATATTTTTATGGACCTTGCTTTGTGCACTGGTGCACTGTCATGTTGGAACAGGAAGGGGCCATCCCCAAACTGTTCTCACAAAGTTGGGGGCATGAAATTTTCCATAAATGTCTTGGTATGCTGATGCCTTAGAGTTCCCTTCACTGGAACTAAGGGGCCAAGCCCAACCCCTGAAAAACAACCCCACACCATTATCCCCCCTCCACCAAACTTTATACTTGGCACAATGCAGTCCGGCAAGTACCGTTCTCCTGGCAATTGTCAAACCCAGGCACATCCATTGGATTGCCAGACAGGGAATCGTGATTAGTCACTCCAGAGAACACGTCTCCACTGCTCTAGAGTCCAGTGGTGGCTTACTTTACACCACTGCATCTGCCGCTTTGCATTGCACTTGGTGATGTAAGGCTTGGATTCAGCTGCTCGGCCATGTAAACCCATTCTATGAAGCTCACTACGCACTGGTGTTGTGCTAATCTAAAGGCCACACAAAGTTTGGAGGTCTTTAGCTACTAACTCTGACTGCTGGCAACTTCTGCGCACTGTGTGCTTCAGCATGCGCTGACCCCACTCTGTTATTTTACTTGGCCTACTTCTTCGTGGCTGAGTTACTGTTGTTCCCAGTTACTTCCACTTTGTTATAATACCACTAACCGTTGACCGTGGAATATTTAGTAGCAGGGAAATTTCACAGATAGGCATGCACAGGTGTCAATCTATCCTGCCACTTGAATTCACTGAGCTCTTGAGTGCGACCCATTCTTTCACAAATGTTTGTCGAAGCAGTCTGCATGCCTAGGTGCTGTCCCAATACCTTTGGCAATATAGTGTATGTGTGTGTATATATGTATGTGTGTATATATATATCTATATATATATATATATATATATATATATATATATATATATATAATATATATATATATATATATAGTGAGGAACACAAGTATTTGAAACACCCTGCGATTTTGCATGTTCTCCCACTTAGAAATCATGGAGGGGTCTAAAATTGTTCTATGTACAATCCTTGTTTTATTGATTGCATGTAATATTCTAATTTTCTGAGATTGTGGATTTGGGGTTTTCATGAGCTGTAAGCCATAATTATCATTATGACAAATCACGGCTTGAACTATCTTGCTTTGCATGTAATGAGTCTATCTCATATATTAGTTTCACCTTTTCAGTTGCATTACTGAAATAAATGAACTTTTGCACGATATTCTAATTTTTCGAGTTTCAACTGTATATATAATTTATATGTCAGATTTTTTTTTTTTTTCATAATAAAAACAAAATGTACAACCAAATGAAACCACAATTTGTCCTTAACAAAACAAGGTGTAAGTCACTAGGATACACTAAGTGGGTGCAAAGATATGTACAGTTATACTAACACATGCCAAAGTTGCAAAACTGGGTTCAGGCATTAAGACTCCTTTTTTGCCTTCATCATTAAGACATTTAGAATTTTGGGATTGTAATACTGATGCCAATTATATTTACAAATATCATTGTAGCATTATTACTTCTGTTCTTGCTACCCACATGAAAATATGAGAGGAGAATGACTTAATGATATGACATTTTAGTGCAGACAAAGCTCTTGAGTATGACATTTTCTGGTAAGATTATAATGTAAATTATAATATAAATCCAACGTGGTTTTAGCAACAGAAATGGCTGTTCTTGTCTGTCTTGTTATTATTTGATGCCATTGTTAGGTAACGAGTTGTTCTGCTTGTTCTAAAGCAATAAACTTTCTGATTTTAGCATCATATTGATTTTGGCACCATTGGCTCCTCTGAGACTGATGACTTGAACATGGAAGCAGGTGATGATAGTCCAAGCATGGAAGATACACAAGGTTCACCACTGGCAATGTGGGAGACTGATATTCAAACCATTGAACTGGAAAAGGGAAGCCTTGGCCTTGGTTTCAGTATTTTAGATTATCAGGTATTGTTTTGTTTTTATGTTGCTTTGTAGACCTCAAACTGTTCATTGATTTAGCCAGAAAGGTTGTTTACAAATTGAAAATAGGATAAAATGAGCATTAAGGCATATTTGAAACAATTTCTACAAAATAAAGTACATTTGGACTTCATAATATATTGATTTGAACTTTAGCATTAATATACATTTAATTCCTTTCTTGTATATCCTGATTTTCAAGTTACGCTGTTTTTTTTGTGTAACACACAAGTCTTTCTGCTTTTTGCCAGCTCAGGGCAGGAGAAATCACAGGAGCCATGAAGCCATTGTGCGTTAAAACATTACAGCTCGAGACTAGCTTTTCTGTGCTTTCTTTGTATCTTAGTCAGCAAAAACTGTGCTTTGACTTGTTAGAACCCTGCTTGGCTTCTAAACTGTATTGTATTGACTATATCTTTAATGTGTTTTGTAGCACAAAAATGATTATGCTTTATATATAATGAGAATTTACCATATTTTCTTCCTTAAGAGCTGATTCACACATGTGCAGTGCAGATTGAAGCTCAGGTTTCACATCTAATTGATACAGTAGTTGTTCAGCGGTTTCATCAGGTTCAGGACAGGATTAGCTCAGGATCTTATCCTGTTCACACAATTGTGGTTTAGAAACGGTTCCCATAGAGGTCAAAAGCCTGTAATCCACACCTGAACCTGAAGGCACTGCTCAGAATTCATACAGGACTCTTTTTCAAACTACACTGAATTTGCACCACCAGTGCACTGAACATATGGGAACGGGCACCATAGGAAGCAATGTTATTTCACATGTCATGCGGATTGGATGCAGTTCAAACCGTATCCTATCCACTTATTTGTGAACCGGCACTATGACAGCTCTGTGGCCTTTGGAGCTTCAACAAATTTTAGACAAAAAAGGCATGGTTTATCGTAGGCCAGCCACCATTCTCTATAAGCCAACCTATAGCAGAGTGTAAAATTTCCAGCATCCTGAGAACACAGCTGAGTCTGTGCATAAGAGCAGCTGCAGGGGGAGACTGCATACAACATAGATCTGTGGGCCTACCCATGAAATTACATCTGTTATGGACTTTTGTCTTTTTTCAGCCAGACTAACTATGTAACTATACAGACAGAGCTGCAAATCTTAATTTGATATGTGTGGACAGGCAGGTGAGCGGCCCTGAACACAGGCAGTGTGCATTCGAGGCCACACCCCTTCATGCCACATACTATGCTAGTCTCTCTCAGACAAGTGTAGTGTCTTTTTGTGTTTTTGCAGTCTTGTACACATGTACAGGATTCTCTTGCTTACATGCTGGTCAACTGAAATTCCATACAAGAAACGCCTTTAGTTTTTACCTTCCGAAGGCGAACATCTGTTTGGTCTCTCCTTGGATAAGTACAGTAAGATCACTGGGAATAAGGGTACTCTCCTCCGCCAGAAGATAAAGTCTCGCACCTCTCTACATAGACCTACTAGAGGTCTATTACCTCTGAGGATAGGAAGGGTTCCATTTGTCCCTCCCAGTCTTCTAATGATAACTTTAGGTCAGGTGCATACTTTGCTAGAAGACATGTCCATGCAAACCAGTCAGGCTTCTGAACAATGATGGGATACCAATTTCTCAAAGTATGGGGATTTCTCTTGGATTTTAACAACTTCTGCTCCCATAACATCTGGTTCCAGAGTGTTTTTTTCAGGATCTACAAACTGGAGTTTTGCACTCTACCTTCTCCCCGCTTCATATACTTCAACTTGTCTCCTTCCCAATCATGGCAGGCAGATCAGCTTTTGAGTGCAGGGTCAGTGTTCCTTTACCACTAGGATAACGCTTTCAGGGTTTCTACTCAAACCATTTTATGGTTCAAAACCTGATTTGACAAATTCGGCCCATTCTGGAACCAAAGATTCTCAACTTGTTCCTTCCAGTTCAGAAGTTTTTAAATAGAAAATGCCAGGACAGTCATTGCTTCCCTCCTTCTGGGGAATTTTCACGCCTCAGTAGTAGTGGTGCACCAAAAATTCTGGACCGAAAACAAAAATTTAGGATGCACTTGGCTGAAAACCAAGACCAATACCAAAATGGACAGTTTTTAAAAAATATATTTTTTTAATGTAAATTTGTATTATATTCGACTTTTTAATTAATATCATGAATTTAAATGAATATGAATTTAAAAAAAATATATCTAAAAATAGAGGCTTTGCATTTGCATTGAAGTCAATATGGGCTGTTTTTGCATTGAAGTCAATGGGACATGATTTTGCATTGACGTCCATAGGGCTCGGTTTTACATTGAAGTCAATGGGGCTCCGTTTTTCATTGAAGTCAATGGGGCGCGTTTTTGCATTGAAGTCAAAGGGAGCGATTTTGCATTGAAGTGAATAGGGCTCGGTTTTTCATTGAAGTCAATGGGACGCGTTTTGCATTGAAGTCAATGGGATGCGTTTTTGCTTTGCAGTTAATAGGGGGCGTTTTGCATTGAAGTCAATGGGATGCGATTTTGCATTGAAGTCAAGGGATGCAATTTTGTATTGTTATTAATCATCATTATCGGCACTTTTTTTTCTATTGGAAAAACACTGATAACCCTATTTTCGGATGATAATTTTTGGCGGCTGATATTTTGTTGAATCACTACTCAATAGACAACCAAGATGCCTATCTGCACATTCCCATATTTCCACTTCAGCAACGCTATCTGTGATCTGCAGTGGTGATCTGCCTTAGCAATTTGTTACCCTTCCTTTTCGCCTATCCATGGGCTTTCACAAAGGTGCTTGCCCTTATTTGGCTCTGCTTTTTTCTCAGGATATCCATGTTGAGGCTTACCTGGATGATCTCCTTTTAAAGAGTCAGTCCTTCTTGCTGATATCTAGTGGTCAGCTGAACAAATTTGTGTCCAAGACCATGGATCCTGTAGACTTTTACATTAAATGCTCTGGTGATTCCTTGGACTCATTTTTCAACTGGTTTATGCCTTCCCTGTGATGATCCTCCCTTGACTGCTGCACAAGATATAGGAGGACATCACATCTGTTAGGCACATCTGAGTTAGCAGCTCTCTCTTAGAAAAGCTTTTTACTTTAAGAATTTTAGTGGGTCATTAGTTGTTTGTATAAAAGACTCCAGAGGACGGCTGTGGGTGTGTCTTGAGAAAGGGGGCCACACCCCTTAAACACATCGTCATAGCAGCCATGCTTGTGCACGCATCCTACTCCCTTCTCTCCCTCCCGTCACTTGTGTGGCATGTCTCCAGAGCGGTGCGTGGCGGTGGCTGGTCTGGGCACATGTACAGACGCTTTACTCAGCTGCGGCTTGTACGAGAGAGCTGTCATCAGCTGGGGAACTGTAATCGCCCTGCAACACATCTTCTGCTAGTTGCCAGGGAGAAGCTGGGGAGGACCATATGTTGTCTGATGTGCCTCTTGTTTTACTCTATCACGTGAGTGCAACTATTTTACCTACCTTTTTATTATATTAATAAATGGAGTAACGCTAGGGCGGGAGTGTGCTCTCTGTTGCTTTTGTTTTTATATTCAGACTTCTACCACCCAGTGGAATGGATTGGAGAGCTGCAGTGCCCAGTTCTGAATTCCTTGTATCATATGTCCCAGCCAACCTCAGTCTGTTGAAGATCAGTGCAATAGTGTTTTTTGTATCGGACGAAATTAAGCTTTTTTTTGTCCTACCTGGAAGCCCTTGTGGAGGACATCCTGCTCCCCACTGCAACATTGCTACATGGATTAGATAGCTCATTTCAGAGGCCTAAACCCTAAAGGATCTTCCCTTTCCCGTCAGAGCCCATTCTGCCAGGGCTGTTTATGTCTTCTGGGGTTTTCAGCATCAAGTATTTGTATTACAGATTTACAAGGCTGCCCCTTGGACCTCTGCTCACACATTTTCAAGTTCTTTGAGATGGACGTTCAGACCTTAGCTGATGCGAGATTTGGCTGCCTGGTTCTCAAGCTATTATTGTATTTTATTCAGGGTTCTTAAGCCCTTGTGTTTTTTGTGGGCCTGTTGGCAGTTCTGTGTTTTGCTATGTTGTTGTCTAGTTGTATTGCTTGTTGTCACAGAAACCACCATGACTTGGGCGACTGGAGGGGCCTGGGGACCAGCCTCCTTTCCACCATCTATGGACCCAGGACTATGGAGACCCCAGCTCTTGGGGTTACAAGGAACCTTTTTCCCAAGAGGGAGATATCGCTTCCCTGGGTACATGACTGTGAATTATACCAGCTGCCCTTTCCATGCAATTAGGGCTGGAGGGCCTATTTCTGGGACCCCTTGGCATACTGTGAATAGTGGAACTATTATCCTGGATGCGTTATATGCAGGGAGTAAATTCCAGCATATGTGGGGTTAAAAAAACCTTATTTTCTGTTACAGGTTTCCTGGCATCAGTTAATGTTTTCTGTAATTAGGTTTAGGTGATAAGCTCTCACTTTGTTTAATCACCTCCAGAGTCCAGACTGCTAGGTTCCTGGAAGGAATCCTTGGTTTTCTTGTGTTTGATTGTTTATTTGTTTGTATAATGTAATTTTCTCCTGGGACTGGTAATGTGTGCCATACCAGTTTAGGGGGAAGGTTTTTGTGTATAAATGCTGTGCTGTTTGCTAATAAAATAAGTCCTTGTTTTACTCTAATGTTGGTTCTGTCTGATGCTTGAGGTAAATTTGCTATATTCTGGTTCAAGAGTAGAGTAAGCTGTAATTTGGTGGAGATACCCAGAAGGGGTGTCAGGCAGTTCATCACACTTGGGTTTGTCCCATGGTCAATGAATACAAGTCTTGCATCCTGTACTATTTTATTTATTTATTTCAGGTACTTGTATAGCGCTGTTAATTTACACATCACTTTACATATATGTACAGTGGGGATCGAAAGTTTGGGCACCCCAGCTAAAAATGTGTATTAATGTGCATAAAGAAGCCAAGGAAAGATGGAAAAATCTCCAAAATGCATCAAATTACAGATTAGACATTCTTATAATATGTCAACAAAAGTTAGATTTTATTTCCATCATTTACACTTTCAAAATAACAGAAAACAAAAAAATGGCGTCTGCAAAAGTTTGGACACCCTGCAGAATTTATAGCATGCACTGCCCCCTTTGCCAAGCTGAGACCTGCCAGTGTCATGGATTGTTCTCAATCATCGTCTGGGAAGACCAGGTGATGTCAATCTCAAAGGTTTTAAATGCCCAGACTCATCTGACCTTGCCCCAACAATCAGCACCATGGGTTCTTCTAAGCAGTTGTCTAGAAAACTGAAACTGAAAATAGTTGACGCTCACATAGCTGGAGAAGGCTATAAGAAGATAGCAAAGCGTTTTCAGATGTCGATATCCTCTGTTCGGAATGTAATTAAGAAATGGCAGTCATCAGGAACAGTGGAAGTTAAAGCAAGATCTGGAAGACCAAGAAAAATATCAGACAAAACAGCTCGCAGGATTGTGAGAAAAACAATTCAAAACCCACGTTTGACTGCACGATCCCTCCAGAAAGATCTGGCAGACACTGGAGTTGTGGTACACTATTCCACTATAAAGAAATACTTGTACAAATATGTTCTTCATGGAAGAGTCACCAGAAGAAAACCTCTTCTACGTCCTCACCACAAAAATCATCGTTTGAACTTTGCAAATGAACATATAGACAAGCCTGATGCATTTTGGAAACAAGTTCTGTGGACCGATGAGGTTAAAATTGAACTTTTTGGCCGGAATGAGCAAAGGTACATTTGGAGAAGAAGGGGCACAGAATTTAATGAAAAGAACCTCTGTCCAACTGTTAAGCATGGGGTTGGATCAATCATGCTTTGGGGTTGTGTTGCAGCCAGTGGCACAGGGAACATCTCACGAGTAGAAGGAAAAATGGATTCAATAAAATTTCAGCAAATTTTGGATGGTAACTTGATGCCATCTGTGAAAAAGCTGAAGTTAAAGAGAGGATGGCTTCTACAAATGGATAATGATCCTAAACACACCTCGAAATCCACGGGGGATTACATCAAGAGGCGTAAACTGAAGGTTTTGCCATGGCCTTCACAATCTCCTGACCTCAACATAATTGAAAATCTATGGATAGACCTTAAAAGAGCAGTGCGTGACAGACAGCCCAGAAATCTCAAAGAACTGGAAGACTTTTGTAAGGAAGAATGGGCAAAGATACCTCAAACAAGAATTGAAAGACTCTTGGCTGGCTACAAAAAGCGTTTACAAGCTGTGATACTTGCCAAAGGGGGCAGTACAAGATATTAACTCTGCAGGGTGCCCAAACGTTTGCAGACGCCATTTTTTTGTTTTCTGTTATTTTGAAAGTGTAAATGATGGAAATAAAATCTAACTTTTGTTGACATATTATAAGAATGTCTAATCTGTAATTTGATGCCTTTTGGAGATTTTTCCATCTTTCCTTGGCTTCTTTATGCACATTAATACAAATATTGAGCTGGGGTGCCCAAACTTTCGATCCCCACTGTATGTATATATATGTACATTCACATCAGTCCTTAACCCTCAAGGGGCGTACAATCTAAAGTCCCCATCTTACATTCATACATACACATACTAGGGCTAATTTAGGCAGGATCCAATTAATCTACAAGCATGACTTTGGAGTGTGGGAGGAAACCGGAGTACCATACATTACCTTGGAGTAGAGTGCAGGACACAGGTCCCACCCCTCTGTGTCTTGATTACTTATAATAGCTTACTAATAAACTGGAGTCCCATGGAGTGGGTGTGGTTATATGGGTATGCTCTAAGAGCGACTCTAGCAAAAGTTTTTGCCAGTGTCCAGTAACCTGAGGGTAGCAGCATATAACCTATGGACTATGAATACAAGCCCTGTGACCGGTACTGTACTCCCAAGATAAGAAATTTACAGGTAGGTCAACATTCCTATGTTTGTACTTAAGATAACATGACCCACAAGCTAATTTTTCTTGGGGCTAGCCTGTTTGTATATATTTCTCCAGCCTTGTCTACAAGGATTGGAATTTTCCATGATTACTAGTACATCCCTTAGTGCACTGAAGATGTCCAGGAGGCTAAAGCAATTTTGTCAAAAGATGGATGTAAAGGCTTTGTGATTGTAATAAAACGTAGTAAGCATTCACTTGCCATATGCTATTTTATGGGCACATGCATTGATTATTTAATTGTATTATGCTGAAGTGAAGTAAGAATGTTCTTGTTTGTGGGTGAGATGCTAAGACTTTACAAATGCTTTAGGACCCTTTTACACGAGTGGACCAATTAGGTCCACCTGTCAGTTTTTCAGGTGGACCCAACTGGACCCACCATTGTCTTCTATGTCCGTTTATACCCGCCTACATTCAGTCTGATCCTAAAAAAAAGATGGATGTTCCCCTTCCATCTAGCGGATCGGATGATAGTGGGGTGTAAACGGACAGGTGGTCCATTTACATCCGACCGCCCATAGAGAAGAGCGGGCTGTGTCTGTATCCGCTTTGCATAAGCGGAGCAGATAGGGATCAGCCATCCGCCTGATCAGTGGACTGAAGCCCCTACTGAGCAAGCAAACTCCTGTCAGTATCTGCTCTATTTGGAGGGAGGCTTAAGTTCACTTTCCTTTTGTTGGTATATTTCTTGTTTTTCTTCTGCCTTCTTCACCTATTTAGGTTTAATCAATCCTTACTTTAATGTGTTTCTTTAGGATCCTATTGATCCAGCAAGCACAGTCATAGTAATTCGCTCCTTGGTCCCTGGAGGAGTTGCAGAACAAGATGGCCAACTTTTGCCTGGTGATCGCTTGATGTTTGTCAATGAGATGAATTTGGAGCATGCGAGTTTAGAGGAGGCTGTTCAGGCACTTAAAGGTGCACCTGCTGGAAATGTTAGCATTGGAGTAGCAAAACCTTTGCCTGTAAGAATATTTTTATAATGCTATGTAACTGATTATGTTTCAGATAACCTGTATAACTAAAATATCCACTACAACTAAATTGCTTATGCAGAGTTAGTCCATCTAATTGATATTTCAGCTTTTGATGGGTTCTGGCAGGCTAACTCACTAATCAATATCTTACAGTGCATCCAGAAAGTATTCACAGCGCTTAACTTTTGCCACATTTTGTTATGTTACAGCCTTATTCCAAAATGGATTAAATACATTTTTTTCTGCAATATTCTACAAACAATATCCTATATAGACAATGTGAAAGAAGTTTGTTTTGAAATCTTTGCAATTTATTAAAAATAAAAAGCGAAAAAAAAACCACATGTACATAAGTATTCACAGTCTTTGCTCAATACTTTGTTGAAGCACCATTAGCACCAATTACAGCCTCAATTCGTTTTGAGTATGTCGCTACAAGCTTGGCACACCTATTTTTGGGCAATTTCTCCCATTCTTCTTTGCAGTACCTCTCAAGCTCCAGCAGGTTGGATGGGGATCTTCAGTGCACATCCATTTTCAGATTTCTCCAGAGTTGTTTAATTGGGTTCAAGTCTGGGCTCTGGCTGGGCCACTCCAGGACATTCACAGAGTTGACCCGTAGCCACTCCTTTGTTATGTGGGCTGTGTGCTTAGGGTCGTTGTCATGTCGAAAGATGAACTGTCGCCCAAGTTTAAGGTCCAGAGCACTCTGGAACAGGTTTTCATCAAGAATGTCTCTGTACATTGCTGCATTCGTCTTTTCTTAGATCCTGACCAGTCTCCAAGTTCCTGCTGCTGAAAAACATCCCCACAGCATGATGCTGCCACCAACATGCTTCACTGTAGGGATGGTATTGGCCAGGTGGTGAGCGGTCCCTGTGTCAGGAATGGACTCAGCACTGGTGGTGGGACTCACCTGCCGTTTGGGCTGCAGTACCAGGGCTGACCAGCGGGTGCTCTCAGCAGCCAGAAGCTCACTCCTGCAATCAGCCAACACCTGGGGCTGATTGCAGAAGGTGTATTTAAGGAATGACCAGGCCTGTGATCAGGGCCTTGGTGTATGTTTCCCATGTGCCCTGTTCCCTGTATCCTGTCTCTTACCTGCTCTGTTCTTAATATTGTTCCTGTGTTCATTCCGTTGCCGACCTCTGCTTGTTCCTGATCCTGCTATTCTCCTGATTAACCCCTGTCTTGCCTGACTACTCTTTTGCTTGATCCCTGGTACTGCGCTGCCCGCAACCTGCTGAACCTGGCTTGTGACCCCGACCATTCTCTGCTCGCTCCTCTTGTACCTCACTGCCTGCACGATACCGACCCGGCCTGCCTGACTACGCTTACTTCACCCGACAATCCATCCATCCATCCTGCAGGGATCACTTCAGTAAGTCTGCCTGCCTCTTCCCATCAGACTCCGTTCCCGCACTCCCCTGCCAGTATTCTCTACCACAGCCGGACACACTCAGGGGTCACGACCTGGTTCCAGTCTGCACCAAGTCCATCCCCACCATCAGGGGCCCTGGTGAACAGTAGGCTGGGACTTAGACCCCGCGCCCTGAGGAAATCCGTGCTGTGGGCTCGGCCTGCCTGACCGCTCCACCTCTCCAGCCCTGACTGCACTGGTACCTATTAGTTTAAGGTTTATTGCACCTGGTTGTACATATTTATGTAAGTGTTGAGTTTGGTTGTTTGCACTGCGTTTATGTTTGTGTTGCCTTTAATAAATTATATTGTGTTACATGCTATACCTGAAGTCTGTGTTTCCCTGTGTCGGTCCACACACCTCTGGTCATACCTGGAGCCCTGACACCCTGGTTTCCTCCAGACATGATGCTTGGCATTCAGGCCAAATAGTTCAATCCTTGTTTAATCAGATCAGAGAGTTTTGTTTCTCATTGTCTGAGAGTCGCTCAGGTGCCTTTTGGCAAACTCCAGGTGGGCTGCCATTTGCCTTTTACTGAGGAGTGGCTTCGGTCTGGCCATTCTACAATACAGGCCTGATTGGTGGAGTGCTGCAGAGATGGTTGTTCTGCTGGAAGGTTCTCCTCTCTCCACAGGGAAACGCTGGAGATCTTTCAGAGTGACCATCGGGTGCTTGGTTACCTCCCTGGCTAAGGCTCTTCTCCCTCGATCGCTCATTTTGGCTGGACGGCCAGCTCTAAGAAGATTCCTGGTGGTTCCAAACTTCTTCCATTTATGGATGATAGAGACCACTGTGCTCATTGGGACCTTCAATGCTGCAGACATTTTTTTTGTACCCTTCCCCAGATCTGTGCCTTGATACAAACCTGTCTCAGAGGTCTACGGACAATTCCTTGGACTTCATGGCTTGGTTTGTGCTCTGACATGCACTGTTAACTGTAGAACCTTATATAGACAGATGTATGCCTTTCCTAATCATGTCCAATTAACTGAATTTCCCACAAGTGGACTCCAATCAAGTTGTGGAAACATCTCAAGGATGATCAGTGGGTACAGGATGCACCAGAGACAGTTTTGAGTGTCATGCCAAAGACTGTGAATACTTATGTACAACTGTTTTTTTTTTTTTTTTTTCGTTTTTTATTTTTATTATTGAATTGCAAAGATTTCAAAATGAACTTCTTTCACATTGTCATTATGGGGTATTGTTTGTAGAATGTTGAGGGAAAAAATTAATTTATTCAATTTTGGAATAAGACTGGAACATAACAAAATTTGGCAAAAGTTAAGCTCTGTGAATACTTTCTGGATGCATTGTATATCTCTTTAGAGCACTGAATTGCTGCAAAATCATTTTATTAGAATTCCCAGCTTCACTTTTTTATGCTTAAATTGCAGTTTTAGGGGGCTCATTCACCTATAATTCATCAAATGGCTTTACTCTATTAGTAGGGGGTTATAGCTTAACTCTTTTTCTCAAACCCCTTTGCTAGTAACCCATTGAAATAGAAATATTGGATCTGCTAATGCTGACTTGTTTTTGAAAGTGCAAGAATCTGTTGTTGTTTTCCTTGTATCCTATCTTTGTTTCACTACTAGATTGAAGCAAGTATGAAGATGACTGCCTACAAAAACAAGTCAGCGCTGGCAATTACCATATTACTATCAAAACAGATTCTCTTTTATATCTGTTCTGTTAGAACCATACAGTTATTTGTATAACTATGGTTTCTCATACAGTACAGGACACAGGCTCCTTTTAAATCATAATCATTGGTTATATACTCCACCTTCAGGTGAGGACACAGTCAAACAAAGTTGTTAGAACAGCCCGTGTAACCCGCTCTCCCTGTACTACAGGATGTGTTGTATGAGGATGGGCCAAGGCCAGACAAAATATATAAGCCCCCATGAGGTTTGCGCACAATCAGTGGAATTTTTCTGTGGGGAATCTGGCTATTTCCTGCCTCAACAAACTTCTTACAGTCCTCAGAAACCTGGAGGACAAGAGGTTAGAAGCCCTCCCTAAAGCATCTTTTGCTCTGTCTTTTGTTTCTGGATTGGTCACCCCTTGGTGGCACCTTAGGGAAACATGCCTAGAACCCACCTCATGGAAGCAGCAGGGCTGGCTTGTAACATTGCCTCCACCTCTGGACACTGACACTTTGTGCTGCAGTACAAACTCAGCGTAGTTAGCTGCAATCTGCTCTTCAGGTCCAGAGCAATGGTGTTCAGAATCCCGGTAATTCCAGTCCCTGTAGACCCTCTCCATGGACCACCAATTCTCTCCTTCTAGTGGTCTTTTCCCTGGAAAGGCGCCTGTACACTAGTGTGGTGAGTCCGTGGCTTTGCCCATGCCCCTGTTGTGCCCCCACCCCCTTAAGGCTCTCACACCCATCACCTAAGTGGCTAATCCCTGGATACTGGGCAGCTTCCCTTGAGCACAACGATGTGGGGGCAGAAGGAGCAGTATGTACCATGTCTAACACTTCTAAATAGTCTGTCACAATCTTGACCTAGCATGAGCCACTTTAAATTTTCTGTTCAAACATAATGAATAAAGTGCACCACTTTTCAGTCCTGGGACACATGTTGCTGCATGTCCAGAGACAAATTTTAGTGCTTAATGGCCATTCTATGTGCATAGTCCCACCCTTTGGAGGAGATACTTTCCTTTCCCTTTTATTACTGTCATATTCAGCACATTGCTCTGAAAAACTGCAGACAGGCAAACTACAGTTCCAGCTGCTACCTTGCTCCAGTTTGTTGCTCTGGTCTCTGCATCTGCCTTCATTGGGTTATACAGCAACATCAATCGTAGGCCACAGGACGGCTTAATCTCTTCTACTCCACATCAACAGTCTCTGTACTTACTAAGGTAGTAGGTACCCCATAGGGAATCTGATAACCCTCAAGGGCAGATGTCAGCTCTCTGGACCTCTACCATGTTTGAGTCTGTCCTTTCCTTCTTTATAACCAGAGTGGAATTTTCAGCCTCTATGGTAGACCTGATGGGGAAAATCTCTGTTTACAGAGAATGCAAGGCATAAACACTGCCATTCAATTTCCCCTGCTGAGTCATTGTCCAAACTTTCCATCACAGCAGCCTTGCTTCCCAATAGGTGGGGATGGTGAGGAAAAGGAAAATGAATTCTTGAAGTCAGAACTCCTCCTGGGATGGGCAGTTGCCCTTGATCTCTCTCAAGCTAAAAGGAACCATTAAGGTTTTGAAAAGTGCCTGTGCTGGATTTGCCTATTTTCTGCCTCAGCAAATCCTTTACAGTTCTGGTTCAGGATGTTCCAGTTTTCAAAGGCTTGGTGGACAAGAAATTTGTGCCCCTCCTGTTTTGTACTGTCAAGTTTGGCCGTGCATCTGTAGGTGTCTTTGGCCATTTGTCAAACTCTGGCAGTCTAGGCCAAGTGCATGGTGTGCAACTCTGGATCCCTCAGTACTCCACAAATTGAAGCTCCTCCCAGTAGTATTTCATGTCTGTAAAGAAGCACGGGATCCTATGACTGCGGAATTGTTTTGCAGAGTCAGTTTGTAATAAATGCTTAGAAAGGATTCTGCTTGATAAATGACTCTTTGAGTAACTAGACCTCTTTAACATAGCAAAGACTTCTTTAATGCAGTAATAAACCAGATTACAAAAATGAAATATATTGCAGCCTATCGATCCTTAGATGTGGTGGCTGCATTTGTTTTCTTTTTTCCTTTATTTCACTTGCTGATTCAGCCAGTAACACAATTCCTGTCTTAGGGTGTTGCATTCTGGAGGTTTTTCTTTTTGCAATAAAGATTTTACATAAGTCAGTCAGGGTTTGTCTCAATCCTCTAACTGCTACTTTGTCTGGACAGTTTGGACTGGTAAATTGAAAAATAACAGTTTTACTGGCTGGATCATCATTTAAAAACTACAAAAAAAAAATCCTAAAAAAGGAAAACTTAAAATTTGTGGGCTGCAATTTTAGTAAATTTTTGTTTTTGGATTAAATACAGCTTCAGGGAAGTCATGAGCAGGAAAAACACTCTCTTACCCAGTAATATGAATGCTAAGGTGCACATTGCAAGGTCTGCCATCTCTGGATTATCTTAGCTTCTTTTTCTTCCCTCCCAGACATCCACATGAAAAGCCAAGTCCTCCAATCAATTCTGTTGCAAGTCCTGGATGTCTAAGCCAGCCAAGTCTGGTGCTAAATTCTACTCACAATGAAGGGACACACTGTTATAAGTCGAGGGAGGGGGGGGGGGCGTCTTTTTGCTTTTTCGTCCGCCTGGATTTAGGGCATTTCGGATCTTTCGGTCCAGGAAGTGGTGTTCCAAGGAAACAAGCTTGAGTTTCACTCCCTACCGTCTCTCCACTTTATGCCCTCCAACTTTTCCATCTCTCTGATTCCATTGCGGGCCCCCTAGACTGCCTTACAGCATCTTCACACATCTGGAATGACTGAGCCAGTTCCCTCAGAGGAACAGCTTCATGGCTTTTATTCAAACCCGTTTACAGTTCTGAAGCCCAGTTGTGGCATTTTCCCTGTTCTAGGTTTAAAGGATATCAACACCTTCTTGCTGATCCAAAAGTTCTAAATGGAATCTGTCCAGTCTGTGATTGCATTGCTGCAGCAAGGGGAGTTTCTAGCATCAATAGACCTCAAGATGCATATTTACACATCCCCATTTTTCCCCTACATCAGTGGTTACGTTGATTTGTGATGTATGAGCAGCACTTCTAGGTTGTATCGCCCCTTTGGCCTGTCCATAGCCCCTTGGGTCTTCGCCAAGGTGCTTGCCCTGGTCTTGATACTGCTGCGCTCTCAGGGAATCCACACTATCGAATATCTGGACAACCTTCGTTTGAAGGATCACTCCACTCCGGCCCTGGCAGCCAATGTGTAATAGACGATACAGACACTTAAGAGCTTTGGGTGGATTCTCAACCTACAGAAGTCTGCAACAGATCCAGCTCACAGCTTGGTGTACCTGGTCCTAGTCTTGGACATAGCCTAAGTCTGGGTGTTTCTGACCCAGGGAGGAGTGTTACCCTCCAAGCATGTGTATGGACCTTGTGTCCCAAAAGCATTCTGTGGTACAATTTTGTATGAGGTTGCTGAGCTTCATTTGAGGGAGTGATGTTTACCCAGTTTCACTCTAGGCCTTTGCAGCTCAATGTGTTGACTGCATGGAACAAATCCCCTGAGTCTTTGGACAGGCTCATATGTCTATGTCCCAAGGCCAGGATATGTCTGACCTGGTGGATGACCATCCTTGTGCTGCAGTTATAAAAAACTCCTTTCTCTCATTAACCTGGACAGTTCTCACAAAGGATGTCAGACTGTTGGGCTGGGGAGGCATCCTAGGGATTGAAAAGGTCCAGGGGACATGGTCATCAAGGGATTCCAGACTTACCATCAATATCAGTGCCACACCTGCCTATCCCTTGTGCATTGGACCAACCAGCTTCTGGGGCGACTTATGAAAATTCAGTCAGACAATGCCACATTCATTGCTTGCATCAATCATCACTGTGGAACCAGAAGCCACAGTGTTCTTCGGGAAGCAGACCTACTTCTGGCTTGGGCCAAATGGCACAGTCCAGCCTTAATCGCAGTACACATTCTTAGAATGGGCAATAGATGGCTGACTTTCTCTGTCATTCATGTTTGGATGTGAAGGAATGGTCTCTCCACTCCAAAGTGTTCTGGGACATCTGTTACTGTTAGGGGATGCTGGATGTAGATCTGTCAACATCCCGCTTTAACTAAAATATGGACAGGTTTGTAGCAAACATCAGAAATCCAAAGGCCTATGCAGCAGGTACAATGGTGTCCTTATGGGATCAGCTCAGGCATCCCCTGACTTCAGATAGACACTCCATGGGCATTTCCAAACAGAACAGATCTGTCACAAAGACTGGTCTGTCATGCTGCTTCACATTAGCTGGCTTTGATGGCCAGGCAGTTGAAATGCAAGTCCTGAGAGATATGAGTCTTCCTACACTGCTTAAAGCTAGGAAATTAACCTCTAGCAAGATACATCTTTGCACTTGGAAGACTTGCTCTGCATAGTATGAGGCACAAAAGTTTCACTGTCCTTACTCTAATCTGTGCTGGAGCAATATTTGGCCTTGAGCACCCTGAAGGGCAATGTCTCAGCATTTTCCATTCTCTTTCAGATACCAATGGCTTCTTATTCACTACTAAAGGCTTTTGTTCAGGGGGTTGGCTCATATTGCTTGTCCTGTTCGTACACCTGTCTCGCCTTGGGATCCCAGTTTGATTCTGTTGGCTCTACAGAAGCTACCCTTTGAGTCCATTTGGGATATCCCCTTGGCCAACCTTACTTGTAATGTAGTTTTTCTTATGGATGTCATGCCAGCGAGATGTGTCTCAGAACTAGCGGCCTGATCTATAAAGAATTTCCTAAATTTCCTGTTTTTCCTAAGTACAAGTTGGTTTTGAGGCCCCTATCCTTAATTCCTGTTAAGGTGGTCTCCTTCTTCCATCTTAATCGGGACATCGTCCTGCTCCGAAGCACCCCAAAGAAATACTTTGAATTGTTTAGATGTAGTAGGTTTAATTCAAGTTTACCTCTCCATCAGTGTGTCCATCTGAACCTGAGATTCTTGATTTGTCCTGCCTGTGGGCTCTCACAAGGGCTGTCCTACATCTTGTTCCACCACTTCAATATGGATTAGTCAGGTTATCACAAAGACTTACACTTTGAAGGATAGGAATTCTCCTTTCTCTGTTAAGGCTTCCACAACCCATTCATTCAGTGCTTCCTGGGCTTTTTAGCACTAGGCGTCCATCACTTGGTCAGGGCCACCACTTGGTCTTCTGTTCACACATTTCTGCTCATGCCAGCTGCTGATTTACACTGCACCTTGATTTGGGAATCTGGTTCTCTTGTTTTGAGGCTGTTAGCTTTGTTTGCTGTGTTGCCAACCACACAGTTGTATTGCCTGGGGACTTCCTGTGGTCAAGATTTAAAGGAGCCTGTGTCTTGTACTGTACAATTTAAAAATAAGGTTTTTTTTATTTACCTGTAAAACCCTTTTCCTGGAGAACAGTACAGGACTCAGGCCACCCTCCTCTCTGTTCTGGCATTTTCCATTGATTGATTGCTTGCTACAAAAAATGAGGATTACTGGGAGTGGGAAGGGTTATATGGCTTGTTTGCCAGTAAACTTTGTCTGCATATAACCCCTATTTGACAGGAAAAAAGCCTTGCGCTTGTAAAAGTGACTGAAGCTTTTCCAAGCATTTAGGCATGTTTAAAGGCGTCGAGAGCTTGGATGTTAATTAATTTCATTGGCTAGAATAATAATTTATTCTGGCTATTAAAATGAATAAACCGTCAAGTGCTATACTCGCCTAGTGTTTAGGCACGTTTTAGCAGCATCAAGCATTTTTTCTGCCATAACTCTGCTGCTCCTGGACGCACTGGCAGTTTTTTTTTGTTTTTGTTTTTTTTACTGCCTCTAAAAGCTCCTGTCACTAAGCACTGCTAAAAACCTATGTGTGCATGGACACATAAGCTAACATGCAGTGGAGTTTAGAGGCAGGAATAAAAATGCCTGACTCCCCTAGAAGCAGCTGCAAAAATGTCCAATTGTATAGAAGGCCAAAAGAGATCCTATGTCCTGTACTGAACTCCAAGAAAAGGACTTTATAGGTAAGTCAAAAATCCTTATTTATAATTCAAAAAACCTAACTAAATTATGTGAGAGCCTTACTTGTCTGTTAAGGTGTTTAATCTCCAGATCTGCTTTGAATACTTGCTATCCTTTCTACTTGCATGCACTTTCTTTCTGTACTGATGTTTAACCGAGTCCAAATGGGGCTCCTTGTTTCTGCAGCTGTCACCAGAAGAAGGCTATATCTCTGCTAAGGACGAATCTCTTTTCTACTCTGCACATTCATATGCCGAGGAAGGGCCCAATGATGCACCTCTTTTCCATGCTGAACTAGCTATGGTTAGTGCCAGCAACTTTCTAAAGAAACATTTTGTGAAAACCCGAGTTTTAGTGACGTTGCATTTCTTAAATCTAATTCTATGTTTCCATTGCTAATTTGCATGGCTGAATGATTATGTCCAGCTTGTATTACTTCATAATATTAGGTATAATTATCTTAATACTTACAGTTAGGTCCATATATATTTGAACACAGGCACAATTTTAGTTATTTTCAGATATTTACCAAAATATATTCAAGCTATAGTTACATAATGGATATGGGCTGAAAGTGCACACTCTCAGGTTTAATTTGAGGGCATGTACATCCAAATCGGAGGAAGGTTTAGGAATTACAGCTCTTAAGAGTAGCCATCCCCTCTTTTTCAAGGGACCAAAAGTAATTGGACAATTGAATCAAAAGCTGTTTCATGGCCAGGTGTGGGCTACTCCTTCATTATTTCTTCATCAATTAAGCAGGTAAAAGGTCTGGAGTTGATTATAACTGTGGTATTTGCATTTGGAATCTATTGCTGTGAACCTACATAATGCGTTCAAAGGAGCTGTCCATGCAAGTGAAACAGGCTACAGTAAGGCTTCAAAAACTAAACAAATCCGTCAGAGAGATAGCAGCAACATTAGGAGTGGCCAAATCAACAGTTTGGTACATTCTGAGGAAAGAAAAACGCACTGGTGAGCTTAGCAACATAAAAAGGCATGGACGTCCACAGAAGCCAACAGTGGTGGATGATTGCAGGATCTTCTATATGGTAAAGAAAAACCCATTCACAACATTCAGACAAGTGAAGGACACCCTCCAGGAGGTGGACGTATCATTGGCAAAGTCTGCATTCAAGAGAAGACTTCACAAGAGCAAATACAGAGGGTTCACCACAAGGTGCAAACTATTCATAAGCCTGAAGAATAGAAAAGTCAGATTCGACTTTGCCAAAAAACATCTAAAAAAGCCAGACCAGTTCTGGAAGAGCATTCTTTGGACGGATAAAACTAAGATTAATCTGTACCAGAATGAAGGAAAGAAAAAAGTGTGGAGAAGGCTTGGAACAGCTCATGATCCAAAGCACGCAACGTCATCTGTAAAACACGGTGGAGGCAGTGTGATGGCATGAGCATGCATGGCTTCCAGTGGCACTGGGCTATTGGTGTTTGATGATGTGACAGAAGCAGCCGGATAAATTCTGCAGTGTATAGAGATATACTGTCAGCCCTGATTCAGCCAAATGCAACAAAGTTGATTGGACAGCGCTTCACAGTACAGATGGACAATGATCCAAAACACACTGAAAAAGCAACCCAGGAGCTTTTAAAGGAAAAAAAGTGGAATATTCTGCAATGGCCGAGTCAATCACCTAATTTCAACCCAATTGAGCATGCATTTCACTTGCTGAAGTCAAAACTAAAGGCAGAAAGACCCACAAACAAAGAACAACTGAAGACAGCTGCAGTTGGAGCCTGGCAAAGCATCAGAAAGGAGGAAACCCAGTCTTTGGTAATGTCCATGGGTTCCAGACTTCAGGCAGTCATTGCCAGTAAAGGATTCTCAACAAAATATTAAAAATGAAAATTTTATTTATGATTATATTAATTTGTCCAATTACATTTGATTCTCTGAAAATGGAGGGACTGTGTATAAAAATGGTTGCAGTTCCTAAAATTTGTACTTTATATTTATGTGCAACCCCTTGAATTATAGCTGAAAGTCTGCACTTCAAATTCATTTGGATTGTTTCATTTTAATTTATTCTGGGGGCATACAGAGACAAAAAGTATGAAAATTGTGCCTGTGTCCAAATATATATGGACCTAACTGTATATTTTTATGGAATATGGCAGTGTTGCTTATATTCACATTTTAGGGTGTGAATCCACCTAGGAGCTGCATGCAGGCAGCCCACAGAATTGGATGCAGATCCAGCTGCTGCACAGACACAGTCGCATGTCAAAATGTGACATACGGGCAGGAGCAGGTGTATGCCTCCAAACGCTCAGGTCTGTGTTCGGATCCATGCACCCACTCCTGCCTGCATTCAGATTTTGACATGCTACTGTGTCCATGCAGCCACTGCATTTGCATCCACTTCTATGGACTGCCTGCTTGCAGCTCAGAGGTGAAGTCACACACAGTAGACAGCAGCTCAGATCCAAGGATGGGTCTAATCACCTATCTGAGTTCTAAAATTGTACTGTACAAAATGCTAAAAGTTAGCTTGTGAGGGTAGCAGTATGTGAGCTGCCATTCTGGACTTGTACTTACTGGTGCAAATTCTAGAGCTGCTGTTCTTTTCCTGTTTCACTACCTAGTAAGCGCAGACCTGGAGCAACCATGCAATAAATAAAGTCTGAAAAGTGTGAACTTTTATCCTAGATACTTTTTCATACTCAATGACTCACACGTTGGTGAAGCTAGAACCTGGATGATAGTTATAAAAACAAGTCAACAATGACAGCTCAAGAATTTCTGTTTTCGAAAGTCCCTTTTTATTTTATTTGTCCCACCAGTAGTGTTTATTTTTGCATCAAAATCTAGAACAGCTTGTGCTATCCTAATCGAAAATTAACTGTAAGTCCTTCACTAAATTGCCTTTATAGGTTGAGACCACTGATGCTGACTTAACAGGAGAATGCAGTATGGAATCCCGCTTTGCTCACAATAATGACAGCTTACTCCAGGCTTCTTTGATAGCCTTGCATGGTAGCCCTTGTAATGAAGATCTTCTTAGTGGTTTGTCTGATTGTTCACTGCAGGTAACTGGGTTCTGATTGCATTTGAATGTTTGTTTTTTTTTCTTGCTTAGTGTAAAAGTTTTGGCTACTTTACTATGTGATACCATACATCTTTTGCAAACATTATTAGCTTTTTGGATGTGCAAGCAAAAAATCAAATTCATTCATTTTATTGGTACATTACAATCAGAAGGTTCAGATGGCAGCTTGTGTCTTTGACCACAACAGGTTTTGTGGGATCACCTGAGACAATCTGGTAGAAGTATATGCCTGTGCACATAATCCTTGCTGCTATGCAGGAAAACAGCTAGAAAGAAACTAAATGGTGATAAATGGTAGTGTGAGTTTAGCTTGCCAATGTAATTACCACTTCAAAACTTACAAACAGTATAACAGTTAGAAGTTTTGTAGTATACTGTGGAATACCTTACGTGAGTGGCACTTTGATGCAAAGAGATGAAGTTTTCATTGTTGCCAGTTATTTGAATTTTATCTGGAAAATCTTCCAAGGATTTATATTTAGATGCTATTTTACAGCTATGAGCATAAATTCTTATGAAGAAACTGCTGCTTCAGGTTTTCGTACTTCTCTCTGCTGAAGGCAAATATCAAACTTCTTAATGGTGATCCTTTGCTTCAGCATATGACAATAAGCCTAGACTTTAAATCATGTAACCAGCACAGGAGGAAGCTTAGAAAAGCACTTCCTTTCCATTGAAGTAAAGAACATCCATTAATATTTATTGATCCCAGCATAACCAATAACTTAACAATAAGTTAAAACTTGAGTATGGATCCACTTTTATGTATTCTTAGACATAAGATGATTAATGTTAGATCTGCCTAGTTTCAACCAATCTGATGACGTCTTTGTCTTTGGGCACCAGCAAACTTTGGCTGACATTCCCAGAAGACCATTTTGGGAAATAGAAACCGACTATGTTGGTTTTCAAATGGTAGCTTTTTCTCCTCTAAGAAGTGCTGTAGATGGCAATGTGCTCCCATTCTGCATTCCCATTAGTCATAACCATGCATGCTCATTAAATCCAATTCTGCAAGTTTGTGGTAATATTTTTTCATGTCCGGAGCTCAGAAGTGTATGTCTAACCACCTTTAATATCTGTGGGTAATTTTTGAGGTTATATCATGTAACAAAAATATCTATTACAAGAGTTCTGTTCATAGTGGGGAAGGTGGAAGCTGCCATTTTAGCATGTTGCCTATTCCTTTTCTGCTAATGTAAGTTATTTTTATAGGCTCTATCTAAAGAAGAGGACTCCTTTCATTCTTCATATGATGTCTGTACTGAGAGGTTACCTTTTCACAAACCAACTCCCCCAAATGAGCTGTGGGCTACGTCAACACCAGTTATAGATTTTAAGTTGCCTACTATGGACTTTTACAACCTAAATCTTGGCCAGCCTGAACATACTAAGCTGACAGATCACAATGATGTTGCTTCTACTGACTCCAAGGATAACTCAGAATTGGTTGTTTTCAGCAAGCAGATAGAAAGCAAATCATCTAGTTCATGGATGCCATTACAGACTCATGGAGCTGACACAGCTGCTGACATTCCTTCCTCTGTTTCAAAGGTAATCAGGATTACACAAAATTAGATTAAAGCTTAGTTCCAGGGTGATGTAAAAGACACATATTAGTGCAGCTCAGTATTCAAAAATACATCATTAACTGTGTTTTTTAAATACAAGTAATTTAAGAACCTGAATTTAAACCTGGTATCAGTATCTTGCTGTGTCTGTACAGCAGAGTTCAGAGATGGGCAGGGATGGTCTGGATTTTGGGGGGACCCCGCAACATTTTTTTAAAATAATTTTTTTTAAATCATTTTTTTGATGCCTGCAATTCTTTTGTTTACATTCTGCTGTCAGCAGGGAATGCCACTGACAACAGATGAATAATTGTTGTTAAGGATGCGGCAGCCACCCTCTCCACAAACCAGCTGTTTACTGGTTTTTAAGGATGCCAGCTACCGCCAGCATTAAAATACTGCTAACTTTCACTACTAAAATGCAGCATCACTTCATAAAAATAGCTCTTGTGGTATTTTAGTAGCGTTTCTTAGTGAATTGCAAATAAAATTTTGAAAAACGCTAAGAGGTATTTTATTACAAATCTTAAAAGTCGTAGATCCTGCTTTATGAATGGTGCCTAGTGTCTTTTTACATGCAGCTGATGAACATTAATGACACAGTATTATAAAATATTTGGAGAAATGAAACATGTATAAGTATATGTGGGATTTATGATTCTGAATGAAAAATAAAAAAGTGAAAATTACATGAAGTTGTAAACACTCTTAAATTCCCAATTTAGGGTGACCATACACATTAAAAAAAACTAGTATCATTAAAACAATAATTTATTGTGGTTTAACTTCCAGGAGACCAAGTACACATAGCACTTAGTCCTGTTCAAATCTGTCCCTTGGTTTCTAAGCAGCATGATCGGTCAGGTTCAGTCTGTTATAAAATAAATTAGTCATATTTTCTTCCACAGGTGAAACTCGAAAAATTAGAATATCGTGCAAAAGTTCATTTATTTCAGTAAAGCAACTTAAAAGGTGAAACTAATATATGAGATAGACTCATTACATGCAAAGCAAGATAGTTCAAGCCGTGATATGTCAAAATTGTGATGATTATGGCTTACAGCTCATGAAAACCCCAAATTCACAATCTCAGAAAATTAGAATATTACATGCAATCAATAAAACAAGGATTGTACGTAGAACAATATCGGACCTCTGAATAATATAAGCATGCATATGTACTCAGTACTTGGTTTGGGCCCCTTTTGCAGCAATTACTGCCTCAATGCAGCGTGGCATGGAAGCTATCAGCCTGTGGCACTGTTGAGGTGTTATGGAAGACCAGGATGCTTCAATAGCGGCCCTCAGCTCTTCTGCATTGTTCGATCTCATGTCTCTCATCTTTCTCTTGGCAATACCCCATAGATTCTCTATGGGGTTCAGGTCAGGCAACTTTGCTGGTCAATCAAGCACAGTGGACCAACACCAGCAGATGACATGGCTCCCCAAATCAACACAGACTGTGGAAACTTCACACTGGACTTCAAGCATCTTGCAGTGTGTGCCTCTCCATTCTTCCTCCATACTCTGGGTCCTTAGTTTCCAAATGAGATGCAAAAGTTACTCTCATCAGAAAAGAGGACTTTGGACCACTGAGCAACAGACCAGGTCTGTTTTTCTTTAGCCCAGGTAAGACACTTCTGACGTTTGTTGTTCAGGAGCATCTTGACAAGAGGAATACGACATTTGAATCCCATGTCCAGGATCCGTCTGTGTGGTGGCTCTTGATGCACTGACTCCAGCCTCAGTCCACTCCTTGTGAAAGTCCCCAACACTTTTGAATGGCCTTTTCCTGACAATCCTCTCCAGGCTGCAGTCATCCCCGCTGCTTGTGCACCTTTTTTTTTCCCACAATTTTCCCTTCCACATAACTTTCTATTAATGTGCTTTAATACAGCACTTTGAGAGCATCCAGCGTCTTTTGCAATTACCTTTTGAGGCTTTCCCTCCTTATGGAGGGTGTCAATGATGGTTTTCTGCACAACTGTCAGGTCAGCAGTCTTTCCCATAATTGTGATTCCTACTGAACCAGACTGAGGGACCATTTAAAGGCTCAGGAACTCTTTGCAGGTGTTATGGCTTAATTAGCTGATTAGAGTGGGACACTTTGAGCCTAGAATATTGCACCTTTTCACAATATTCTAATTATCTGAGATTGTGGATTTGGGGTTTTCATGAGCTGTAAGCCATAGTCATTACAATTATGACAAATCACAGCTTGAACTATCTTGCTTTGCATGTAATGAGTCTATCTCATATATTAGTTTCACCTTTTAAGTTGCATTACTGAAATAAATGAACTTTTGCAGGATATTCTAATTTTTCGAGTTTCACCTGTAAGATCAGATGGTTATCAGGATCAGGGGCGGACTAACCATTGGGGAACTCAGGCACTGCCCGAGGGCCCAGGGTCAGTAAGGGGCCCATTAGATGTCCCTGGTACCTTTCATAGGCTTTTTTGAGTGTGGGAGAGAACACAGGGGCCCCACAATCCCCTATTGCCTGGGGGCCCCATGAGTTGTCAGTCTGCCCCTGATCAGGATGTTTTTAGAGTATACATTTTTTTATATCTGGTCTTGTGATCATCAAATCACATTTGGTCACTTTCAGCTAACATTAGTAGCAACAGCTGGTTATTTTAAGGTACTAAAGAAAAATTAAAATGACCGCATGGTACAAATTGAAATACTAGCTTAGATGACATAAATAACTAAAATACCAGGTTATATTTTACAAAACAATTGTGTTTTTGGAACAGTTTTGTCTATTTGTTCAGATACAGCCCTTGGGTAGTTGATGAACTTGTTAGCAAAATATACCGTATTTCGCACTCCATAAGAAGCACCTGACCATAAGACGCACCTAGGTTTTAGAGGTGAAAAACAAGGAAAAAAATATTCTGAACCAATGGACTGCAGACACAGTACAGGAGATGACCAGAGACTGTGGACACAGTACAGGAGATGACCAGAGACTGCGGACATAGTACAGGGAATGACCAGAGACTGCAGACACAGTACAGGAGATGACCAGAGACTGTGGACACAGTACAGGAGATGACCAGAGACTGCGGACACAGTACAGGAGATGACCAGAGACTGTGGACACAGTACAGGAGATGACCAGAGACTGTGGACACAGTACAGGAGATGACCAGAGACTGCAGACACAGTACAGGAGATGACCAGAGACTGCGGACATAGTACAGGGAAAATACCAGGGACTGCGGACATAGTACAGATGACCAGAGACTGCAGACACAGTACAGGAGATGACCAGAGACTGCAGACACAGTACAGGAGATGACCAGAGACTGCGGACACAGTACAGGAGATGACCAAAGACTGAAGACATAGTACAGGAGATGACCAGAGACTACGGACACAGTACAGGAGATGACCATAGACTCTGGACACAGTACAGGAGATGACCATAGACTCTGGACACAGTACAGGAGATGACCATAGACTGCGGACACAGTACAGGAGATGACCAGAGACTGCGGACACAGTATAGGAGATGACCATAGACTGCGGACACAGTACAGGAGATGACCATAGACTGCGGACACAGTACAGGAGATGACCAGAGACTGTGGACACAGTACAGGAGATGACCAGAGACTGTGGAAAACAGTATAGGGGATGACCAGACTGCGGACATAGTACAGGAGATGACCAGAGACTGCAGACACAGTACAGGAGATGACCAGAGTCTGCGGACATAGTACAGGAAAATACCAGGACTGCGACATAGTACAGATGACCAGAGACTGCAGACACAGTACAGGAGATAACCAGAGACTGCAGACACAGTACAGGAGATGACCAGAGACTGCGGACACACAGTACAGGAGATGACCAAAGACTGCAGACATAGTACAGGAGATGACCAGAGACTACGGACACAGTACAGGAGATGACCATAGACTCTGGACACAGTACAGGAGATGACCAGAGACTGCGGACACAGTACAGGAGATGACCAGAGACTGCGGACACAGTACAGGAGATGACCAGAGACTGTGGACACAGTATAGGAGATGACCATAGACTGCGGACACAGTACAGGAGATGACCATAGACTGCGGACACAGTACAGGAGATGACCAGAGAATGCGGACACAGTACAGGAGATGACCAGAGACTGCAGACACAGTACAGGAGATGACCAGAGTCTGCGGACACAGTACAGGGAAAATACCAGAGACTGCTGGCATAGTACAGATGACCAGAGACTGCAGACAGTACAGGGGATGACCAGAGACTGCAGACAGTACAGGGGATGACCAAGAGACTGCGGACCTTTGGGGATGGAGGGGGAGCTGGTACCTCAATTTGACAGGTACCCGCTCCCACTTCCACGGAGTTGTCCTTTTTCTTTAGTGTGGGCACGCTGGCTTCTACCGCGTCGGCTTCTGTGACAGCTAGGTGCCCACTGCACATGTGCAAGAAGCGCTGCGCTTTGTGAATGGCCCGGCGCCTTCTGGGACCTGTCGTGTGTCCCAGATGTCGCCAGACCATTCACAAAGCACAGCGCTTCTTGCGCATGCACAGTGGGCACCTAGCTGTCACAGCGCCGGAGCGGGAAGACTGTACAGCGCTAGACCGAGGAACAGGTAAGGTCCTGCAACAGAGAAGAGCTGAGCGGCCAGCCTGGTATTCTGACATGGTGGCGGCGGCGGAAATACTGGACCGTCCGCTCCATATTCGCTCCATAAGACGCACTCACATTTTCCCCCCTTTTTTAGGGGGAAAAACATGCGTCTTATGGAGCGAAAAATACGGTATGTAGTATTTAGACCAGGGATGCTCAACCTTTTGAAGAGAGAGGGCCACCTCTGTTTCCTCTTGTACCAAATTGTATTGTAACTGTAATGTCTACCTTCATTTTTTAAAGCACTGCGCAAACTGTTGGTGCTATATAAATCCTGTATAATAATATAATAACTTAAGTGATCTGGTAACCGGTCACGGCCACAGTAAAATGAAATGGTTCAGAATGTTGAAGTTTTTATTTTGAATACCATAATTAACATTTTCCTCCTGCAGCCATGGAATGCCTGTGGTAGGGGGAGGAGGAGAAGCCGGATTTCAGAGCTTCCAGGAGGAAAATGAAAAGGATTGGTTCCTGTATATGTTGCTCCCGCCACCCTTCCTGTCCAAGTGTAAAACAGAATGTAACAGGGAGGCCGCACGGGCCCCCCTGGAGCATAGGGCAGGGCCACTATTGCGACCCCTGATACTACAACAGTGGTTAGGAATGTGTGGTAAATTTGTGTCTCAAATATGGGATTTTACTGCCCCCAAACTGCAAATGTAAATAAGCCCTTAATGTCCTCAGCACACTATAAGACTGCTTTCACACTGATGTGTTCTGGCTTTCCTGTGGGTTAGCTGCGCTTTGTCATAGACTTATGCATTCTGGGGTTTTAGTGCACTTTCAGAAAGTGCAAAAAAGCTGCAGGATATAATAAAAGTGTGCTTCCCTGGTTTAAGGTCGAGGGCCACATCAGATGGCTCCAAGGGCCGCAGGTTGAGCACACCTGATTTAGACAGTGCAGTCTTCTGTATTTAGGACAGGACCATTGAAAAAGTCTCACTCTAGTTTATCCCGTTTCCAGCTCAAGCCTTTTACTGTTAAAGTGTATCTAAACAAAAGTATAAAAATGTCTATCCTTTTTTTCAGGATTCTCTTCATTTATTTTCACCCGTTAATCCAACAAATAGCACACCTCCTGTCTCTGGGTGGTTATGCTAATTTTTTCACTGAATTATGGAGAGAGCCATAGTTGCCACCCAGGCTTAGTTTCAAACATGGTTGCCTTTGTTTATCTCAATTAAATTAAAGTTGATGAGACTAGTATTTAACAGAAGGAAGATAAGGTTGGTTGTCCTTTATTATAAGCCAACTGGAAGTGACAAGGCATTTCTGGCAAGATCAACAGGCATTTTTCTGTTTTTGCTGGAAAAGCCTGAAAAAAAAATAAACCAATGCAGCAACCACATGTAAAAACTTGTAAGTTAAAATATTTAACATTTTAGTTTTTTAATTTAGTGATCACTTAAATTGCTTGGCATCATAAGCTTAAGCAGCAGTAGTAAAGGCTGTTTCTATGTACAGACAATCTAATATTTTTGAGTAAACCTGTTCTTTTATTTTTTTTAAACCCTTTTCAGATGACGGGAGCCAGCCCCCCTTAAAATGTGCAACACTGGTGGCGTTATACGAGCTTTCCCAGTCATGTGATCACTATGATTGGCTGTCATAGTGATTACATAATTAGTAGCCTGCCCCACTGACTTCCAGTTGTAATCTGTGATCGTCAGCTGTTGCTGGTAGCATGGTCACTGTGCTAGGGGGCACCGAGAGAGTGTGTTCCCAGCACAAACACGGAAGACTGGCAATACCAATAAAGGTGATAACTCATTGTTAAAGCCCATTGCTGTGCTGCCACATACTATATGTGTTAAATATACTTTTTAGCAGTTAAATTTACTATTTTTGTGGAAACATAATCTTCAGATCAGTTATATTTTGAGGATTTTAGAAAACATAGCAGAGTTTTAGATGCCACTAGTCCCTATACACTGATGCATACATGCCTGTCTTTCTCTTTCCCAAGTGCAGAGTGGGTGGATTTGCCTGCTGTAATCACATGATCACTCCCAGTTTGTAATGAAAGAGAAGCTGTTGGGAAAGCAATGAGCAAATTAAGGCCTCTTGCACACGATACTAATGTTTGAGCATCTGCTTTTTTTAAATGTAATTTTAATGCAGGCCATAGATGGGTCGAAAATCGGCCGATTTTTCGGCCGAAAATAAAATCGGCAAATTTTGGATCCTTAGTGGGTTAATAGGGTTTTTTCGGTATTTTGATTTTTTTTATCGATAAAGTTTGAAAAAAAAATCAGCCGATTGGCCGATTTTCGCGGCAATGATGGGCTAATCGGCCGATCTTTTTACCGATAAAAAATCTGCGCATGAGCAGTGACCTGCAAGAGGAAGACAAAAAGAAGAAGAGGATGAAGAAGAAGAGGATGAAGAAGAAGAGGAAGAAGAAGATGAGGATGAAGAAGAGGATGAAGAAGAATGAGGATGAAGAAGAGGAAGAAGATGAAGAAGAAGATGAAACAGAAGAGGATGAAGAAGAAGAGAATGAAGAAGAGGAAGAAGAGGAGGAAGAAGAAGAAGAGACGAAGAAGAATTCCAGTCCGGCAAAAAGTGTCCCTGCAGAGAGCTCGCTTTTTCTTTGACAGTTCTTTGACATTTATAGCGGCTGCAACATTGTATCTGAAATGGATACAAAAAGATACAATGTTGCAGCCGCTATAAATGTCAAAGAACTGTCAAAGAAATAGCGGAGCTCTCTGCAGAGACACTTTTGCCGGCTGTAGACAGGATGAAAAACGGCCGATTTTTTTTTTTACCGTTCCTGGTAACGTGTCGGCCGATTGAACGACCGATTTTTCGTTTTTTTTTAAAGAAAAATCGTCCGGTTTTCTCCCCATCTATGGCCTGCATAAACGTTTGTGTTTATTCGCGCATATTTATGTGCGTATTTGCATGCGCAAGCACGTTCACAGATATGTGCACACAATATAATCTTAAGGAAAATTAATTCATGTTTATGCTCATATGCGCGTATTCGTGCACATTTGCGTGCGCGCGGTGTAAATTACTGGCCAAAAATGCAGATTTTCTTTTTTTTTACTGAGGAATCTGCGAAGCTTATTTACATGCTTGTATGCAAATGCACATTGTAAATAATGGACTACATTTTACAATGCTGCACTAATCTTTTTCAAGTTGCAGTGTGCAAGAGGCCTAAGTGTGCAAGGAATTCTATTTCTGGATTGTTCTGTACACATGGTAAAGAGAAACTGCTCAGGGTTTATCCATGTATAAACAGAAGGAACATTTAATTTTTTTTTTTAAGTGGCAAAAGGCTTTAAACTGAAATGAAAGGTCACTTTTAATAATACTAAATTATAAAATGGTTTTTGTTGCAATCATATACATTTTTTAACAATAGTGGAGTTTTCCTTTAATGTTAAATTGCAGTTGACTTTCTGTTCTCATTTTGTGTTTGTGTTTTACTCATGCGGTTTTGTTTAATGTTTGATTACATTATTAATCCTTCATTATGAAAATGGATACACACGATCCCATTTCTAATTCATAATGCTCTTGATTTTTCTAATTTCATGTATTTGATGCTATTGAATACAATTGGTGAATAGTGTTATGTCTTTGTATAACAGGCTGAAGGACATTTATCTGGAAAACCGTATTATGAAACAAATGAGGAGTGTGCACCCAGGACCTTGCCTAAAAGCAAATTTGAGAAAACAATTACCATAGTCAGAGGCAACTGCAGCCTAGGTTAGTACACTGGCTTTATTCTAATTGACAGCAAGGTTTGTTCATTAATGTGTACAGCAGATGTAAATCTTAAGTGGATGACGACATTTAGTTTTTAAAGCACAGTATATTTTAAGCATTTGCCATTTGTTTTCTTTTAGAAAATACTGTTTTTTCTTTTTTTTTTGCATCTCAGTGCAACTGATCTCCCGCTGCTACTTGTTCTCTACATCTGTTCGCTTCAGCATCAACTTAAAGCATAACTCTTACAAGAAAATGAAAAAGCTTGTTAACTACTTCAAAACCAAGCCAATTCTGACATTTCTCACATAAAAAAAAAATCAGCATTTTTTTGCTAGAAATTTACTTAGAACCCCCAAACATTATGTACACTGCTTAAACAAATTACAGGAACACTTTTTTAATTAGAGTATAGCGTCAAGTCAGTTAAACTCATGGGATATTGATCTGGTCAGTTAAGTAGCAGAGAGGGTTGTTAATCAGTTTCAGCTGCTTTGGTGTTAATGAAATTAACAACAGGTGCACTAGATTGGCAACAATGAGACGACCCCTAAAACAGGAATGGTTTTACAGGAACAGACATTTTTTTTCCCTATTCATCTTTTCTGACTCACTAGATTTGCATTTGGCTAGGGTCAGTGTCACTACTGGGTAGCATGAGGAGATACCTGGACCGTACAGAAGTTGCACAGGTAGTCCAACTCCTCCAGGATGGCACATCATTACGTGCCATTGCCAGAAGGTTTGCTGTGTCTCACAGCAGAGTCTCAAGAGCATGGAGGAGATTCAAAGAGACATGCAGTTACTCTAGGAGAGCGGGACGAGGCCGTAGCAGGTCCTTAACCCATCAGCAGGACTGGTATCTGCTCTTTTGTGCAAGGAGGAACAGGATGAGCACTGACAGATCCCTACAAAATGATCTTCAGCAGGCCACTGGTTGAATGTCTCTGACCAAACAATCAGAAGCAGACTTCATGAGGGTGGCCTGAGGGTCTGACATCCTCTACTGGGCCCTTTGCTCACTGCCCAGCACCATAGAGCTCGATTGGCATTTGCCATTGAACACCAGAATCAGCTGGTCTTCCACTGGTGCCCTGTGCTTTTCACAGATGAGAGCAGGTTCACCCTGATTACCTGTGACAGATATGAAAGGGTCTGGAGAAGCCGTGGAGAACGTTATGCTACCAATAATATAGTTCAGCATGTTACCTCTACAGGCTAGACAATGGCACGCTGACTGCCACTGGGTATCGATATGAAATCCTTGGACCCATTGTCAGAACCTAAGCTGGTGCAGTGGCTCCTGGGTTCCTCCCGGTGCACGACAATGCCCAGCCTCATGTGGCGAGAGTATGCAGGCAGTTCCTGGAGGATGAAGGAATTGATACCATTGAATGGCCCCCACGCTTGCCTAACCTAAATCCAATAGAACACATCTGGGATATTATGTTTTGGTCTATCCGACGCCACCAGGTTGCACCTCAAGACTGTCCAGGAGCTCAGTGATGCCCTGGTCCAGATCTGGGAGGTAATACCCCAGGACACCATCTGTTGTCTCAACAACACAGGTCTCTTTCTTGCCAGCAAGGACATGATGCTTTGTATTTCTCTGCACAGCAGAGAAATACAAAGCAGCATGTCTCCCTAGTAAAGCACACACAGTACATCATGTAAAACAGCACACAGTTAACCCTTTAATCGCCCCAGATGTTAACCCCTTTCTGCCCAGTGCCATTAGTACAGTGTCAGTGCTTATTAGCACTAATCACTGTATTAGTGTCATTGGGATGTCAGTGGCAGTTAGTTTCCACCCAGTGTCAGAATGCCCGCCGCAGTCCCGCTATAAGTTGCTGATCACTGCCACTACTAGTATAAAAAAATATGTAAAAATTCCAGCATATATACCGCCATTTGTAGACGCTATATCTTTCACGTAAACCAATTAATTTACATGTATTGATATTCTTTTGAGCAAAGACATGTAACAGAATACATTTTGGCCTAAATTTATGAAGAAATTAGACTTTTTAAAATATTTTTATTGGATATGTTTTATAGAAAAAAGTACAAAAATATTGTTTTTTTTTAAATTGTTGAGTTTTTTTTGTTTATAGCGCAAAAATTAAAAAATGCAAAGGTGATCAAATACAACCAAAAGAAAGCTCAATTTGTGGGAAAAAAGGACATAAAATTCATTTTTGTACAGCATTGCATGACCGCACAATTGTCAGTTAAAGTAACACAGCGCCATATTGCAAAAAATAGCCTGGTCAGGAAGGGGGGTAAGTGCTCTGGAGGGCAAGTGGTTAAATCAAATTTTTTGCTATCAAAAGGGATGAACATCAATGGGGGGGGGGGCTTCTATGCCCTGTAGAAGTGACCAGGCAGCTGTAGAACTGCTTGGATTACTACTGCATAAAAGTCCTTTGCCAGCCACAAATTATGATATTGGAATTATGGCTGCAGCTGCAGCCTTGATCCCGGTATAACCGCTTCAACCCGAGGACATGCAAGTACATCACAGTACTTCAGCAGGAAAAAAAACTGGATATCCTTATCTCTCACAAAGGGATTGTGTATGTGCACAGTTACAAAGACCCGTAGCCTGGACTCACTGCATAAAAAAAGTGATTCCCTCCAGCAAGAATTGTCCCCCTTCTCACTCTTACGCAGCATAACCATTCATACACAGCTGAACATCCTCCTTGTGCCAGAAGCTAACATCATAGTCTGCAGAACTAAAAAAGCACTGAACACAAAGCATAGTATCATGTGCCATACCCAACAAATCCTCGACTATGTCCTTTCTTGATTTCTAAAATTTATATAGGCCAGTCTTGCACCTCCTAGGTTTGGCCACAAAAACTATATTGGAGCATTGGGAGTACACACAGCCATCCCGTCGCTAAAAGCACCACAACACACTCACAGGAATGGGCGGGTAAGGGGATTGCTCTCGGAAAGCTCAATCTGTGTCCCGTCTAATAGCAGCATGGTGTGTACCGGAAGGAAACACCCCAAGACTGAGTGGAACAGGTGCCTTCAGGAACGTAAAGTGTTACTAAACCCAAGATCCTGCATTCACTATTTCTGGTCTCCCTCAGTACATAAACCAATGGAAATGCAATTATTTTAGTAAATATAAACTGCTGAATACCATTTCTCATCATCGGTATATAGCAGTCTTGTGACTTCTATCAGTGTCTGGCCGAGCATTGGTTAAAGCTTGTAGGAGGAGTTTTTATTCTCTTCTGACTCTCCTATGAGGCTGCATGACCCCTGACCCTCTGGGCAGTGCTGATTGGCCCTGTGCTGATCACATGCACCCCAGCACACACCAAACTGAGCATGTGGAGAGTGCCTCCTAGGACTCTGTACTATCAGTAGATGGGTTGGGGACTGTGAAAGAAAGGGGATCATCTGAGAAGATAGGATCAAACAGTCTTTTTACACAATGTGGAGGATTAACACCTTAGGTTCCACGGTGAGTATAACAAGCATGATTTACTGCATATACAGACTGATTTTACTGTTCTGGATTTAGTAACGCTTTAATGATACAGACACAAGATATTGGCCAAAAGGCGGAAAAACATAATAGTAGGTAAGGTGAACCTTGAATATCCAATTATGTGCATGGAAAATAAAAAAACTGGGTTTAGGACTTTTCACTTTAACATAAAGAGATCATTGTAATGTGTTTTCTTAGTTTTCCATTCATCAAATATTTCTGCAACTAATGACCAATAAACTCATCTCTTTTAGAAAACAAATGTAACCAAGCATCTTAAAATCATATCTTTTTGCATGAATTGACTGCTGTGGAACAGTGTCCAATTATCTATTGCATATGGGAGATCAAAGACACCAGCAGATGTTATACTATTTTAGCAGCTTACGAGTGTATTAATAATTAACGCATTGGGTAGTCTTTTCTGCTTTTCATCATCTCAGGCCCTGCCTTTTTATTAACTTTAAAGGTAAAACAAAGTTGCAGATTAATTATAATAGATATCACCACCTAAATTTTAAGGTGAAATTTTGCTGATTATAATGAAGAAGACATCTTGTGATTATTCTATATTGAAATGTACTGGTAAGCAATGCTTGACATCCCAGTCAAAGATTATGAAGAACATGGTACAAGGTAGTTCCAAGTTGGTGGGTGCTTCCATAGTAACCAGGCAGATGTCCTTTGCAATAAAATTACATTGCTATTACTGAAATAGGAGAAGTACTAATTATTTGCGTGTACCAATTTTTTGTAAAGCTGTTACACTGTTGCCACTATATGCACATATGCAGCATTTGTAAAAAATAAAAGTCTTTTTTCATACTATATTGTTAAAGGTACACTGCAGGACTTCCGGTTCTGGTGCCACATGAGCTAGGGAAGGAATCCCGCGGCTCCGGAAACCTAGGCATAAAAATTCAGCCTCCTGCACCAGAGGACTTACCTAAACGGCACAGGAGTGCCGCCTGAGTCTGCCTCACCCGATCCTATATGGATCGGTATCTGCAGCCGGTGACGCCTGGCCCTAATCCTACTGCACGATCCCCTGGGAGCAGCTCTCCCCCTCTCGCAGCCAAGATGGCCGCCGACCACGATCCTCACAGCAGCAGCACTGATGGCAGGACAGCCAATATGGACACAGAACCAGCGCCAGACCAAGGAGCAGGTAGGGGGGAGACACAGCCATCACACATCCCTCCATTAGGGCATGCTGACACCAGTTGTTCTGTGGAACACTATGAAAAAATTGCACAAGCTGTCGCCTCCCTTTTACTACCTACCATTACTCAGGCAGTAGACAGAGCTGTAACACAGGGCATAGAACAACTTAGAAGAGACCTGGGGGAAAACGCCAAACGCATAACCGAAGCGGAACATCGCATCTCTGACCTAGAGGATGAGGTCCAAGCTATGCAGGCTGGTGCTACACAATCTAAACGTGTGCAACAGAACATATTGGACAAGCTAGACGACTTATAGCTCAGGC